TTCTCCTTATCATCTGTTATTTTGGTATTTCCATAGTTGATATATGGAATTTGGTGTTTACCTTTTTCTCGCAGACTTCTGCTAATTCTCCAAAAAGTTGTATCTCCTGGTTTTAAATTAGATAGTAATTGACACCATTTATTATTGCGTTCTGCTTTGATGTTTTTATCTATCATTTTAGTAAGAAGGTTTGCATATTGATTGTAAAATTGTTTCTCAACTGCATTTGAAGTTCTTTGACTTTTTCTTTTGTAGCTTCTTCTTAGTTTTATATATTTACAGATATTCTCAGGCAATTCAAAATAGTTTCGTTGAGTAACTTTGGGAGTTGATGCATTTCTTGCTTCTAAAATAATGTTGGTTAATTTGTTAATTTCATTATCAATTGTTTGCTTTGAATTGTAATCATCTATATTGAATACTATATGATTGTCAACAAAATTCTTAAAATGTTCCAGTTCGTTAATCTATGATCATAGTAACTGATATCAGCAATTGAAGCCTTCGATCGTTTTATGGTGCAAATAATGGGACGATGATCTGAAGGAATTTCGTAACCCAACGTTCTTACTTCTATATTTAGTGCGGAATTACTAATTACCACATCGACCGTAGACGGTTGTCTATTACGTTGATGTGGGTATAATGTAGGACTATTTGGGTAGTATACGAAAAAGTTACAAGTTTGTTGTATGTTGTTGAGTATGACACCTGCTGTGTTACTTGTAGCACAATTCCAGGCGGAATGTTTAGCATTTAGGTCTCCTAAAACTATGTATTCATTGGCTGAAGGTGTAAGTTTATGAATATCATTAGAGAAATTATTGTTATAACGGGGCGAGTATGCAGAAGTTATTACAATCGGTCTATTATTTATTGTTATTTCTATAGATATATTTTCAATAGATCTAGTGTTAAATGTGAAGCAGTTTTTATGTTTTATAGATTTATGAACCAGTAAAGCGACGCCTCCTCCTCTTCCATCTGACCTGTCGTTTCTGTAGAAAAAGTAATTTTTTAAAAAGGGTTTGATGCCTTCCGTTAAAAATGTTTCGTTTAATGAAGCAATTTTTATATTTTCCCTTTCGAGCAATATTTCTAGTTGTTTTAATTTTGAAAAGTATGAAATTCCATTAACATTCAAATGAAGCATTTTAAATTCGTTTGAATTAGTGTAAGCCATGAGCATACTTTACCATAGACATAACAACTTTAATTTGTTGCACTTTTGATGTACATCTTTGTAAATCTTCCATAGCAGTTGTAAAGATATCGAAAAGTTCATCGACACTAAACAGATCGGAATTATTTTTCAGCTGGTTTGCGTATGAAACGTTGGCATTCATTATATTATTATTGTTGCGGCTTGTTGTATTGCCTAAGTTGGGAAATTCCACACCGTTGAATTGGAATGTATTTAGATTTTGCTGTACTCTGTTATTATTATGAGATTTAGTTGTTACTCTTGCCCTCGTCTCCAGATAAAGAGAACGTAGTGGACAATTTATGTCGTTTGCTGCATGATCAGTTCTTTCTTTTCCATGTTTTTTACAATTAAAACAAGTAAAAACAGCTGGTCGCTTTTCATTTGTATTAAATGGACAAACATTTGTATGATGGTTTTCTGCGCATATCATGCAAGCGGCACCTCGATGACAATGCTCTCCACCATGACCATACATTAGACAGTTCCAACATTGTGTTGGTCTATCATTTTTCTTCGGTCTGTATTTTTTCCATGTAATAATTACGTTAGCTATAGTTCTCACATTTTTTAAATAACTTGGATTAAAGTTTTTTCGAATAAATTGTACCTTATACACTGCATTATTATCCGAGCTAAATTTGGTAATAATTTCAGTTACAGCAGATGGTGACAAGTTGTAGCTCTCCAATTCGGATTTGATATCGTCTGCTTTGATACGAGGTAAGCCATGCAAGAAGGTGGTGTATAACCTATTATCTTTCGAATTATACGAATGGAACTCAATTTGATTTTCCTTTAGTGTTTGCATACAGCTTTTATATACTGCCTGGTTTGGAGTGAATACTTTGGTACCAATGGAAGTACGCTTAAAAAGCATTCCTTACCTAATAAATTTTGGATTTCGGAAAATGATACATTGATTTCCACTACAATAGGTGGTGGCTTACGTTCCTTTACTTCATTTATATTTGTTGCTGGAGCTACATCCATATCATTTTGACCCCCCAGGATACTAAATCTATTTCCCAACGAAGATGGAATATTTGGATAAACATGCCCTGGTTGTTTAGTTGACTTTATCTTAGCATTGCGCTTTTTGTTCCTAGATTTTTTGGCCCCTGGGGCCATTTTAGGTGGTGTGTTATTAGTTTCTATTTAAAAAATTGACTATCACGTGTGAGTTCAATAAGAACGTGTGTAGGCAATTACAAAAACAATAGTGTTATCTTTATTTTTAATATGTATAAAGATTTGCTGTGCGCTTATGTTGCTGAGACTACCGTTCGTTATGAATATCAGATGTGAACTGTTTCAAGTGGATTAGAAAAAGTTGAGTTGTATATATTTTATTTAAAAACCCCTAATAATTCTGTATAACATTCTCGAGCAAAGACTAATATAAAGTCTTTGATGACGGCATGCATGGGGAATATATACATATGTAGATTCAACTGAAGCCTGATTCATTAAAAAATCATCATTAACAATAAGGTTCATTTATTCTGATTTTTGTAATGATCGGAACTGTTTTATTCTAGTCTCCATATAAACCTTTCATCAGTGACTTGAACAGCGTATTTCACTTATAAAAACTAATATCACATATTTGGTATAAATAACATTTATATAAACATAAATTCCACCACCTAATATTTTTAGGATCGGTTCATATTTTACGCTCAGTTTGGTTCTTCAGTTTTTCAACAATTTTGTGCAAACGGTGCAAAAATAAAACCAAAAATATGTTTGTTGATGAAAAGCACACATATTTCTCCACGTTGCTTAAACATATAAATCATAGATAGATAGATAGATAGATAGATAGATAGATAGATAGATAGATAGATAGATAGATAGATAGATATATAGATAGATAGATAGATAGATAGATAGATAGATAGATAGATAGATAGATAGATAGATAGATAGATAGATAGATAGATAGATAGATAGATAGATAGATAGATAGATAGATAGATAGATAGATAGATAGATAGATAGATAGATAGATAGATAGATAGATAGATAGATAGATAGATAGATAGATAGATAATAGATAGATAGATAGATAGATAGATAGATAGATAGATAGATAGATAGATAGATAGATAGATAGATAGATAGATAGATAGATAGATAGATAGATAGATAGATAGATAGATAGATAGATAGATAGATAGATAGATAGATAGATATATAGATAGATAGATAGATAGATAGATAGATAGATAGATAGATAGATAGATAGATAGATAGATAGATAGATAGATAGATAGATAGATAGATAGATAGATAGATAGATAGATAGATAGATAGATAGATAGATAGATAGATAGATAGATAGATAGATAGATAGATAGATAGATAGATAGATAGATAGATAGATAGATAGATAGATAGATAGATAGATAGATAGATAGATAGATAGATAGATAGATAGATAGATAGATACAGATAGATAGATATACAGATAGATAGATATACAGATAGATAGATAGATAGATAGATAGATAGATAGATAGATAGATAGATAGATAGATAGATAGATAGATAGATAGATAGATAGATAGATAGATAGATAGATAGATAGATAGATAGATAGATAGATAGATAGATAGATAGATAGATAGATAGATAGATAGATAGATAGATAGATAGATAGATAGATAGATAGATAGATAGATAGATAGATAGATAGATAGATAGATAGATAGATAGATAGATAGATAGATAGATAGATAGATAGATAGATAGATAGATAGATAGATAGATAGATAGATAGATAGATAGATAGATAGATAGATAGATAGATAGATAGATAGATAGATAGATAGATAGATAGATAGATAGATAGATAGATAGATAGATAGTAGATAGATAGATAGATAGATAGATAGATAGATAGATAGATAGATAGATAGATAGATAGATAGATAGATAGATAGATAGATAGATAGATAGATAGATAGATAGATAGATAGATAGATAGTGAACTTAAAAGTTATTTCTGGAAGGGGACTTTTTATGGCGGCTACGGTTAATAAGTATGGATATTTATGAGCTAAATGACCCAATCGGCAACGTGGGCTGTTTGGGATAGATTATAGACAGATTTCAATCATTTCCTTATACAATTTAACCATAAGAGGTAAAACTCGGAAATCGGTTATATCTCGAGAAGAAATCATGTGATTTCAAATTTATTCAGCTGTTTCAAATAATGTTTACAAAATAATTAATTTTAAAAGTTATTAATGGAAAAGTTATTTTGCAAACATTTTTCTTTGTTATGGTAGGTAGGTTATTTAGAGGAAATTTAAATTAAACTCATTTTTTAATTCAGAAGCAGATGAAATTAAATTAAAATTTTATTATTTTGAAGATATTTAACATTCAATTTAACTGAATTTATCAGGAAATTATATTAACTATATGGAATAAGAATTAAATCTTGGATATTATAAGATGGTGTGATAAAATTACATCCCGATTTTTTAGTAATATTAAAAGTTCTAACTATGGTAGGGTGATCTACTCAACTAGATCTATAAACTTCACTTGGTCACATGTAAAGTATTTGGGAATTAATTATTTCAAAGCTTTGGCTGTAGAAATAGAAAAGAGAATGGATTAATTATCCTATTAAGCAGATGAGATTGTGTAGCTCTCATCTTTCTTTATCATCGTTAAATTATAGTCTTAAAAGTTCTTACCGATCAGTAATCAGTTATAAGTGAGTCTTCACATGTCTTATCACATTAATGTTATCGTCGTTTTAGTGACAATCTTTGACCATATTATCTTAGACACTTGTCCGTACCATACTCAGAAGATACTTTCAAACAATTTCGTAACGAAAAAAATTAGGAGTGCATTCAAGAAGTAAAATATTATAAAACCTAAAAATGCTTATAAAAGCCAAAACATGCCTTTGTTGAGCTAGAAAGTTCAATTTATGAAAAATATTCTTACAGCAACTTTGCGTGTAGCTGGTTCCCTACAAAAATCCACCGAAGTAATGCAGGCAATGCAAAATTTGGTACGCTATCCGGAATTGGCTGGCATAATGCGTGATATGTCCAAAGAAATGATGAAAGCGGGTATTATTGAAGAAATGCTTGAAGAAACTATGGAATCCCTGGAGGAGACTGAGGAAATGGAAGAGGAGGCTGCCAAGGAAGTCGATAAAGTTTTGTGGGAAATCACAAATGGTAAATTGGGTGAAGCTCCCCTACCACCCGATGAGTTGACTCCCGCTGAACAACAAAAAGTACCAGCTGCTGCTGTTGCAGTCACCGCAGATGTGGGTGATGATGATGATGAAGAAGATGACCTACAGGAAATGCAATCACGTTTGGCTTCGTTGCGGTCGTAAGAAAAAAGCTAAGCATTATTGAATCGTCGTGTACTTTTTATAAAATTTATCATTTAATTTGTCCATTATTTTATTAAATGGTTTTTATTTAAAATGATATATTTTATTTAAATTAATTGTATTTTTTAAGTTTATATTTTATTTGTTAATTTTTTTTTTATAAAATTCTGGTATTAATAATTTTAACTCTGTTTAAAATTCAATCTTTTCTTTCATATATTAAGTATTTAATATCTTTTGATAGTGTAAAAAACCTGAATAAATATTTATTTAAAAAAAAACTATTTTGATGCTGTTTTTAATAATCAGGCAAAGAGTTTCGATAACGCCGCTCGTAGTATGGATAATGTGTCCAAAAAACTAAAAAAATTTTGAAAACTATTTCTGCTAATTGATGAATTCGCGATAACAAATTTCAAATTTTATTTTCAATTTTGAATTTCAGTGCAAAAGTCTATATAAAATAAGTTTTATTTCAATTTAAAAATAAAACTCAACATAAAGCTATTTCTTTCTACATTTTTTAAAACATCCACTTTAATGTACATTCATATCCCTAATTGTTTAAATTGTAGTGACAGTTATAAAAAATGCTCTGTTAAATACCCGCATATTAAAGTTCAACAAATCGTATTTTAAGGACATTATCATTTTGTCCTTAGTGAATATTGATAAAGGATTTTTATGTGAAAAAAATAATATATTCTTGATTAAGGTTTCACTTGAATACGTCAAGTGCACAAAATATTACTTGAAAAGACCAATTTTAAATATTAAATACAAAAATTATAAAAAGATAAAATATCAAGCACAAAATTTTAATAATTTTGGACAAAAGAATCATTAAACCATAAGAAAATATTTGATTTTAGAACAAATATTAAAAAATTGTAGATGAATGGAAGAGAAAAAGAAAAATCAACAAAAAAATAAAATTCATAGATATTAAAGATTAACGCATAAAATGAGGGGAAAAAATAGGCATAAAAAGACGAAAAATGGTCATATTAAAAAATGTTTATTAAAATATGTCTATCTATTGTATCTAATGCGGGGCAGGACTAGAAGTAATATACGGTAACTAACTAACTAACTAACTACTACTAAACTAACTAACTACTAACTAACTAACTAACTAACTAACGAACGAACGAACGAACGAACGAACGAACGAACGAAAGAACGCGAACGAACGAACGAACGAACGAACGAAACGAACGACGAACGAACGAACGAACGAACGAACGAACGAACGAACGAACGAACGAACGAACGAACGAACGAACGAACGAACGAACAACGAACGAACGAACGAACGAACGAACGAACGAAACGAACGAACGAACGAACGAACGAAGAACGAACGAACGAACGAACGAAACGAACGAACGAACGAACGAACGAACGAACGAACGAACGAACGAACGACGAACGAAACGAACGAACGAACGAACGAACAACGAACGAACGAACGAACGAAGAACGAACGAACGAACGAACGAACGAACGAACGAACGAACGAACGAACGAACGAACGAACGAAACGAACGAACGAACGAACGAACGAACGAACGAACGAACGAACGAACGAACGAACGAACGAAACGAACGAACGAACGAACGAACGAACGAACGAACAACGAACGAACGAACAAAGAACGAACGAACGAACGAACGAACGAACGAACGAACGAACGAACGAACGAACAAACGAACGAACGAACGAACGAACGAACGAACGAACGAACGAACGAACAAGAACGAACGAAACGAACGAACGAACGAACGAACGAACGAACAACGAACGAAACGAACGAACGAACGAACGAACGAACGAACGAAACGAACGACGAACGAACGAACGAACGAACGAACGAACGAACGAACGAACGAAACGAACTGAACGAACGAACGAACGAACGAACGAACGAAGAACGAACGAACGAACGAACGAACGAACGAACTGAACGAACGAACGAACGAACGAACGAACGAACGAACGAACGAACGAACGAACGAACGAACGAACGAACGAACGAACGAACGAACGAACGAACGAACGAACGAACGAACGAACGAACGAACGAACGAACGAACGAACGAACGAACGAACGAACGAACGAACGAACGAACGAACGACGAACGAACGAACGAACGAACGAACGAACGAACGAACGAACGAACGAACGAACGAACGAAACGAACGAACGAACGAACGAACGAACGAACGAACGAACGAACGAAACGAACGAACGAACGAACGAACGAACGAACGAAACGAACGAACGAACGAACGAAACGAACGAACGAACGAACGAACGAACGAACGAACGAAACGAACGAACGAACGAACGAACGAACGAACGAACGAACGAACGAAGAAAACGAACGAACGAACGAACGAACGAAACGAACGAACGAACGAACGAACGAACGAAAACGAACGAAACGAACGAACGAACGAACGAACGAACGAACGAACGAACGAACGAACGAACGAACGAACGAACGAACGAACGAACGAACGAACGAACGAACGAACGAACGAACGAACGAACGAACGAACGAACGAACGAACGAACGAAACGAACGAACGAACGAACGAACGAACGAACGAACGAACGAACGAACGAACGAACGAACGAACGAACGAACGAAACGAACGAAACGAAACGAACGAACGAACGAACGAACGAACGAACGAAACGAACGAACGAACGAACGAACGAACGAACGAACGAACGAACGAACAACGAACGAACGAACGAACGAACGAACGAACGAACGAACGAACGAACGAACGAACGAACGAACGAACGAAACGAACGAACGAACGAACGAACTAACGAACGAACGAACGAACGAACGAACTAACGAACGAACGAACGAACAACGAACGAACGAACGAAACGAACGAACTAACGAACGAACTAACGAACGAACTAACTAACACTAACGAAAAAACTAACAACTAACTTAACTAACTAACTAACTAACAACTAACTAACTAACTAGCTAACTAACTAACTAACTAACTAACTAACTAACTAACTAACTAACAACTAACTAACTAACTAACTAACTAACTAACTAACGAACTAACTAACTAACTAACTAACTAACTAACTAACTAACTAACTAACATTTACCTAACTAACTAACTAACTAACTAACTAACTAACTATTTACCTAACTAACTAACTAATTTACATCACAAACTTGGATTTGTTTACCTATTATCATCCTCGATATACATACACATACTTCTTAGATTGTCCTCGTTTAACGACACCCAAATGCTGATTCCACAAATGTTAAACATTTTAGATAAAAACTAAACTTGATGACAAGGTTTTCTTTAAAGTCAAGAAAAATACGCAGAAATTTAAATATGAAAACCAACCCAAAATGGTACATACCGAAATATGTAGAACATAAAGCTAATTTGTATTTTTTTTACAAACATTTAAATTTATACTTGTAAGCTTTATGAAACCTTCGCTAAACATAGCCGTCCCCATCTTCAATGAAAATTTTTCACAAATTTGATGTGTTGGCTTAGGTGGCAGCAACAAAAATAAAAAAATAAAAGTAATAAAAAAGATGAAGGGACTAACAAGCCAAATTATGGCAATTAAGTGACAGTGTTGCATGCCACAAAATAACGGAAATATGTATGTAATGCTGATTTTTGTATATTGTACATAAAAACACAAGCACAGTCCAGTTGTTTTGAAAGTTGTCAATACATCCATTTTAGACAGTATTTTCTTAAAAAGCACTAAATTATTTGACTCGTATAACAAAACCACCAGATGTAGTCTACTGCAAATGGTAATTTATAACCTAAAATTTAAATGTGGCTGAGGTACAATCATTTGACTTCCGTTTAGGACAAGCTCATGTTAACACAAAAATAACAATTAAAGGGCTTGGACTAAAGGTAACATAGTTTAGTGCGGGTTTCCCACTCAGAACTGCAGAAACGTGTCTAGATCACACAGACATACAACTTTTTTGTTAAATAAGTAAAAAGGGAAAATAATATTTATTGTAAAAACGCGTAATTTAGAGGAAAAATTAAATTAACTTGACGCAACATAATTTAAAAAGGACCTTTTTTCTTCTTTCTGTTTCTTTCTATTATAAAATTAATAAGAAAATATAAACTGCCATTTGTTTCTTCCAAAAACAATTTGAGGGCTAAAAAAGGGCCTGATAAAAAAACTTATGTTTTATACAAGAAAAATTTATACAAATTTGGTTATTTTTTATTAATGAATATAATTCTACTGCCTATAATTTAAAGCGGCTCCTCATTTAAACGAATTGCCGCATTCGTAATAAGATAAAATTTATAGTAATTTTCCTATTTTAGATAATGAATTCGATATCGGTTCATAATTAGCCGACCCTACTACAAAAATTCAGAAGACAGTATCCAAGAGAAATTTGTTGATCTTCTTTTAAAGTTAATATACATAACATTCAAATCTTGTTTTGTCGAATTACAACAACAAGATTGTATACATATTTTTTTTGCAATATTCTAATATTTATAACTGATAAAGCTATTGTATTATTTGGATTTGTTGAAGAAAATCATATAAAATCTTTTTCCATTTTTAAACTGTTTTTTTTTCAGTTTAAAAAGTTTGTTTTTCAAAGGGCCTAAATTAAATGAATAGCTTTTTAAGGCCCATTTAATATTGAGTACAGCAAGTAATTGTCATTAAAAAGTTTAAAAATAACGGTCAATAATAATAAATAATATCTTGTATACATTTATTAAACTCAGAAAAATAACCGCTTATTACAAAAATTTGGGTTTTAATTAATTTATGAGGATGTTCAAATAACAAATCGTTAGCTTAGTACGTAAACGTGCCTAGTCCTATTCAATAAATTCTACAGACCCACAAAATAATATGTATTCCTGGTCCTTATTAGATTCTAAGACGATTTAGTCATGTCCGTCTGTCTGTTGAAAACGCTATAGATAGTTATCCTCAGTAAACGACTATAACGCAGATAACTGAAAAAGCTCGTATAGCAATGAAATTCGACACAAACAAGTTTTATAGGAACTAAATTCGACACGAATAAGATTGATGGAAAGCTAAATGACACTGTCAAACTTTATGAGAATCGGTTCATAATTGACCTACCCTCCATAGTATTTGACTATAACACATATAACTTCCTTTAACGCTCATAACTTCCTACAAAATTCCAGTATAGCAACGAAATTCTACATTTAAATATTTTATAGAAACTAAAATCTCTCTGTCAAATTTTATAATGATTGGTCAATAATTGACCCTACTCCCCATAAAAGGTCCCTTCAAAAAATTACTAAAACGCTTATAACTTCCTTCAAACTGCCAGTAAAGCAACAAAATTTTACATAAACAAGTTTTATCAGAACTTATATCTCTCTATCAAATTATATAAGGATCGGTCTATAATTGGCCTTAACCCTCATGTAAAGTCCCCTTCAGAAATTGACTTCAACGCTCATAAATTGCTTCAAAATGCCAGTATAGCAACGATACTCTACATACAAAAGTTTTATGGGAACCAAAATCTCTATATTTAATTTTAGGATTCGGATCGGGTCTTATTTACCTCCCATATAAGGTACCCTTTAGAACATGACTACAACGCCCATAAGAATATTTTTGGAAAAAATTTCGATTTTTAAAATTTTTAAATAGACGGAAAATTTAGTTTTATTCAAACTCATTGAGCCAAAATAAGGTATTGGTGTGTTATTTTTGAATTCGGGTAATAAGGCCCATGTAGGACCAAATTTCGGTAAGTACTTTGGTAATTTTTGAAAAAAAATTTTCTTTATCAAATTAATGTAGATTTGTACCGTTTGTGTTTTATCTGTGATATGTGAAGATTTTGCAAACTTAATTCTCAAAAAGTCTATTCCGGGGGGAAAATAGGAAAATGGTACTCTTTTTATTATAACTTTTCACAAATGATGAATTTATTCCACTATTTTATCGTACAAATTATATATTTTTTTTTAATTCTAACAAGTTTAATATACAAACAAAAATATTTAATCTACACGGCCCCTGATGGAATAATAATCTATAAGGGAAATTTTTGGTACTTTTTCGTTCTTCAAATGGTACTTTTTGTATTTTTTTAATATTGAATCTAGAAACATAAAATTTAATATGACAAAAAGGATACTCTTTTGAAGTATTTAGTTCTTCAATTTAAAATTTCTATAGTGGGGCGCCGAAACACATGAAACAAGTTCCTTATTAAATGACAATTTATAAGACTGTAATTTTTGGTACTTATTCGTAGAAAGTACCAAGAAAGAGTATTTTGAATAATTTCATATAGGAATACCTCTCAATCGATGCGTATTAATGTACTGAACATGAGAAAATAAAAAATATTTTTTTGGAATGTATCTCAGTTCCCTACCAACGATTCAATCCCTGAACTTAATATAATTTGTGAAAAAATTAAAAATGGATCTCAAAAACTACCAAATTTTGAGCAAGTTACGAAAAAATATTTTTAAAATTTCTTTAGTCCGCCAAAATTAATTTTAGTGGCTTTTAAAAGACATATTTGTTCAATTCACAATCGATGTTGTAGCGTTGTATGTCAGCAGCTGCTACAATAGTCATAACAATGTTGTTGGTATTTTCTATGCAAAAGCACTATACAACTCCTACGACCAATTTTTCATATGATTTTCGAATGTTGTAAGAAAGTTTAGTGTTGCCAATTGTTATTTCGTCATATAAACAAAAAATTCAAACGATTTTAGCATAAAAAACGATAAAGTGGTAACACTGAAATCAAAAACAAACAGCTGTTTACCAAACAAAAAAACTAAAATTTTTATTAAAAACTGTTTATTTATTAGTTTAAAATGTGGAATAAAGAATATAAAAGCATTGAAAATTCAAAGAAATTAATTTAGTTTATTTCGCATGTTTAATTAATTTAATATTTTTTTGATTTTTTATCTTTTGCCATTGTTATTTGTATTTGTTTTGATTGTTTTTTTTTTTTCATTGAAAACATAAACTTATGACTTGCAGCAAAGATCTGTTCACAATCACTGTTACTACACTTTAGTAGGTACAATATACAACTTGATTGTGACTTATTATTTTCGCTTTTTATCGAAACAGGATTCAAAATTATTGTAATTTTTAGCTTATACAGAAAATTTGTCTTGTGGTTTGGTCTATTTCAGAATTTTTTAGTTTATTTTGTAATTTATATGCCAATTATACATAACGCACTAAAATACAAATTTCTGAAATTTTTATACCCACCATCAAAAAAGATGGGGGGTATATTGTTTTTGTCATTCCGTTTGTAACACATTGAAATATTCGTCTAAGACCCATAAAAGTATATATATTCTGGGTCCTTATTAGATTCTAAGACGATCTAGCCATGTCCGTCCGTCTGTCCGTCTGTCCGTCTGTCCGTCCGTCCGTCTGTCCGTCTGTCTGTCTGTCTGTTGAAAACACGATAGAGCCCAAACGGAAGTAGCTAGAGAGCTGAAATTTTGCATAAATACTTTTAGTTGATGCAGTTCGTTTGGTATTGAAAATGGGCAATATCGGTCCACGATTTCGCCTAGCCCCCATATAAGGTCCCCTTCAGAAAATGACTTTAACGCTCATAACTGACTAAAAGAAGCACCTATAGCGATGAAATTCGACATAAACATATTTTATAGGAACCTTAAAATCTTTGTAGAATTTTATAAGGATCGGTCCATAATTAACCCTACCCCCCATATAAGGTCCCCTTCAAAAAATGACTTTAACGCTCATAACTGTCTAAAAGAAGCATCTATAGCGATGAAATTCGACATGAACATATTCTATAGAAACCTAAATCGCTTTGTAAAATTTTATAAGGATCGGTCCATAATTGACCCTAGCCGCCCTATAAGGTCCCCTTCAGAAAATGACTTTAACGCTCATAACTGTCCAAAAGAAGCAGCTATAGCGATGAAATTCGACATGAACATATTTTATAGGAACCTTAATATCATTGTAAAATTTTATAAGGATCGGTCCATAATTGACCCTATCCCCCATATAAGCTCCCCTTCAGAAAATGACTTTAACGCTTATAACTGACTAAAAGAAGCATCTATAGCGATGAAATTAGACATGAACCTATTTTATAGAAACGTTAGTCGCTTTGTAAAATTTTATAAGGTTCGGTCCAGAATTGACCCTACCCCCCATATAAGATCCCCTTCAGAAAATGACTTTAACGCTCATAACTGTCCAAAAAAAGCATCTATAGCGATGAAATTTGACATGAACATATTTTATAGGAACCTTGATATCATTGTAAAATTTAATAAGGATCGGTTCATAATTGACCCTATCCCCCATATAAGATCCCCTTCAGAAAATTCCTTTAACGCTCATAACTGTCTAAAAGAAGCATCTATAGCGATGAAATTCGACATAAATATATTTTCTAGGAACCTAAATCGCTTTGCAAAATATATTTTATAGGAACCTTGATATCATTGTAAAATTGTATAAGGATCGGTTCATAATTGACCCTATGCCCCATATAAGGTCCCCTTCAGAAAATGACTTTAACGCTCATAACTGTCTAAAATAAGCATCTATAGCAATGAAATTCGACATGAACCTATTTTATGGAATCGCTAAATCGCTTTGTAAAGTTTTACGAAGATCGGTCCATAATTGACTACCCCCCATATAAGATCCCCTTCGGAAAATGGCTTTAAGGTTCATAATTGTCTAAAAGAAGCATCCATACCGATGAAATTTGACATGAACATATTTTATAGGAACCTTAATATCATAGCAAAATTTTATAAGGATCGGTCCATAATTCACCCTATCCCCCATATAAGGTGCCCTTCAGAAAATTACTATAGCGATGAAATTCAACATGAACATATTTTATAGGAACCTAAAACGCTTTGTAAAATTTATAAGGATCGGTTCATAATTGACCCTACCCCTCCTATAAAGTCCCCTTCACAAATGGCTTTAACGCTCATTACTAGCTAAAATCGTTCTAGAAAATTTGACTAGGATCGGTCCATAATTGACCAAACCTCCCCCCCCCTAATAAGGTCCCTCTCAGAAAATGACTTTAACGCTTTATACTACCTTAAAAATACAAGTACAGCGACAAAATTTGTTACAAATTTCTCTACCAAATTTTAGGAGGATCCTATCGATATACGTAATATGTATGATGGTAAAATTATACATATATGTAATAAATGAGAAAATTGTTTTGATAATAACAAAAGCATCGATTCTTAAATATCAAAGTTTATTTATAAGCAAGCACTCCTTTTCGGCAATGTTTTGATGGTGGGTGTACAAGATTCGGCACAGCCGAATATAACACTCTTACTTGTTTTTTTTTAAATATGTTGTTTTGTCAAATGATGACGTTTTGTTGAAACAAAACTGACATCTGGTCAAAAGTTGAGCATTATTCTTTGGATACGTAACTGTTTTTTTTTTTCGTATTTTAACTTGAGAAATGAAACAACAGTGACTACATGAAACAATAAGATTTTGAGAACAAAACAACAATCATTTAGCAACAGCAACAAAAAAATGTAGAATAAATTGTACTCTTCAAATAACAACAATAGCAAATGGTTACAACGAATACAAATTAATGCGAAAACAACAATGTTATTTCTTTTCCTTTGTCTGAATCTTTTTTATGTGTATGTAAGAGTGAGTGCGACATTTCCGTTTCCGGGTAGGCGCATAAAAAATGTTAACGATTTTTTTTTCCAGCAAAATAAGCCAAAGGCAGCGAAGCTTAAATTGTAACAAGAAATACTTAAAAAATTAACAATTGTTAAAAGTTTAAGTTAAAATTTTGATTTTTTTCTTTTGACAAACTTGATAAAAATTTATGAGTTAAGTTGAAAATTATTTATAAACCCAAAAAATAACTACATTAATATAAAACAATAACATACTGTGGAACAACTGGCAAAATTTAAAATCTTGAAACTGTTTCTAAATCAATCTGAAAGAAAAACTAGTTTTTTATACTAATGTCCACAATATAGCAAAATTCTTGTTAAAAGAAAGAATTTTTTTGCTTTAACAATTTCAAAACACTCAATATGTCTAACAATTTAAACACATTTCTAAAATAAAACAACCTTCATTCTTTTTTTATTGCAGAATTTTTTTTTTGTCAAAGATCATTGGAAAAAAAAGGACACAAATAATCGTATATATAAAGAAACAAGAAAAGCCTACACTTGTGACGGAAATAGAAATGGCTTTTAAAGCATTTTACCGTTTTCAATTGTTCCATACAGTTTTAATTGTCCTGTCGTTGATGGCAACATGGACGCGTGCACAGCAACCAAGGCGTGATGCTGATGTAAATACATACATATACACGCAACACATAAGTATTCATACAAATATATGTACATACGTTTATATACATTAGACCGGTACTTAAAAATCTTTTATATATATAATTTTTGGACCAAAATTACAACAAGAGAATATACTCTCTACTTGGCCTAGTGTAGTAGGTCTAGTCGTCGTAAAATTTTTAATATACCCCAAATTTCAAGGCTATATTAACTTCCCATTTCGGAGTATATTAAAAATTCTAAAAGTGGTTGGGATATCTACTCAACCATAGCTATAAACCATGTTGATTAATTTTTAACACAGTGTGTTAGTGATTAACGAATAATGGAGATTTTTAAAAAGAATTGATGAACAGAAGTTTTCTAAATTGTATTCTTTATAAAACAAATTGAATCGAATTTATATATTTTCTTACGAAGTAAATTGTTATAAACATTAAAAATATTTGTCTTTTTAACTTTTTTGTATGTATATATTCCATAACATATTTAGTGGCCACCACCAGCAATTCTAAAGATGGCAAAACCATTCCACGATACTTGTGCGGAAAAAACCGGTGTAACTGACGGTTTGTATGAAAAATAATTTATTTTCATTAAATTGCTAAACAGTTTCATTACATTTAATTTAATGTGCTACGTTCATTTTTCAGAAGCCATTAAGGAGTTCAGTGATGGTGAAATTCACGAAGATGAAGCTTTAAAATGTTACATGAACTGTTTATTTCATGAATTCGAAGTGGTCGATGATAATGGTGACGTCCATTTGGAAACATTATTCCGTAATCTACCGGGCTCGTTAAGGGAAATGCTTATGAAGGCTTCGGAAAATTGTGTACATCCAGAGGGTGATACGTTGTGTCACAAGGCTTGGTGGTTCCATCAATGTTGGAAAAAGGCTGATCCAGTGGTAAGCATTTCGTTTTTTTTTTAATAAATTCTAAAAATTTCAAATAAATATATTAAACAAAAATTTAAATATTTCTTTCAGCACTACTTCTTGGTCTAAGGTGAACGATATGAATTTTTGCAAGTGTGAAAATGACATGGTTTAAATGCTGTTAAAATTTAGTTTTACATACATACATACTTTATATATGATTTATATTTTTTGTTTAATTAAAGCAATGCAGAAAGAAGCAATTATAAAATTAATCTAATAATTTAACTTTGTTATACATATATTAAGACCTATTACCTCAGTTTTCGGTTATCATGAAAACTGTCAATTTAACATTAGGATAATAATATTAATGGAATATTTTTTCAAATCAAAATGTAGGTGGACTTTGAAGTTTTAAGCAATATTCATTTTATATTACAGGATTTGCTATATTTATACCCTACACCACTATAGTGGGAAGGGTATTATGCGTTTGTGCTGATGTTTGTAACGCACTAAAATATTAGTACTATACCCACCTTTAAGTATACCGATCGACTCAGAATCACTTTCGATTTAACGATGTCCGTCCGTCCGTGTGTCCATGTAAACGTCGTTATCAAAGCACAGGTCGCAATTTGCAAGATAATTTGATAAAATTTGGCATACACGTTTCTTTTGACCCAAGGACGAAGCAAATGGTTAAAATCGGTCCATTATTTCACCTAGCCCGCATACAACTTAACCCCCCGAAAAGGGCTTTTGAGCTCATAATTCTGTATAATATAAATGTATCTCGATAAAAGTTAGCACAACTAAGTTTTATACAAGCCTTAATGACCTTGCCGAATTTCGAAATGATCGGACTTCATTTGACCCTAGCCCCCATACAAAGCCCCCCTTCGGAAAATGACTTGAATATCCGCAATTCACTTATTAACACTGTTATTGCAATGAAATTTATCACAGACAAAAATTATATAAATATAAATCTATTTAGCCCATTTTATCGGGATCGGTTCACATTTGCTCCTATCCCCCATATAAAGCCTCTTTCAGAAATTAGTTTTTCGTCAATAAATTGCTTAAATAAATCGGAATCAAGGAAATATTCCAGATAAATGCTTTATTATGAAAAATAGATCACATTTAATATTCATAACTGGTGTAGGGTATCATATGGTCGGCCACTCCCGACTATACTTTCTTAATTGTTTATTAAAGCATAAAAACATTAAAATTGGTAAAAAGGGAGTAAAATTTGCAATAGTGCAGTTATTGTATCAGCATAACTATATTGTCAAGCGAAGAAGTCGAAAGTTGACAGTTATGGTTCCTCCCGTTAGAAATTTGGGAGTAGGGTCAATTATGGACCAATCCTCATCGTTTGGATAACTCTTATTTGCTTCAAATTTTATCTCTGTACTCGTATTTTTAATTCAGCTTTAACGTAATTTTCTGAAGGAAACCCTTAATGGGTCCTCATAAAATTTGGTACAGGGACTTTGATTCTTCCAAAACTTATTTATTTCGAATCGTATTTTTAAGCCAGTAATTAGCGTTAAAGTCATTTTCTAAAGACGAACGGTCAGTTATTGACCGATCCTCATTAAATTTGATAGGAAGATTTTAGTTGCAATAAAACTTGTTTATGGCGAATTTTAATACTGTACTCGTATTTTTAAGCTAGTAATGAGCGTTAAAGTCATATTCTGAAGGGGATCTAATATGGATAATCAACTATGAGGCGATCCTCATAAAATTCGTAGAAAGATTTTGGTTCTTACGAAACTTGTTTATGTCGAATTTTATAACTGTCTTAGTGTTTTTAAGCCTGTAATGATCGTTAAAGTCATATTCTGAAGGGGACCTTATATGAGGGATAGGGTCAATTATTGGCCGATCGTCATAACATTTGGTAGAGAGATTTTTGTTCTTACGGAACTTGTTTATGTCGAATGTAATGATCGTTAAAGTCATATTCTTAAGGGGACCTTATATGGGGGGAAGGATCAATTATGGGCCGATCCTCATAAAATTTTGTACAGATATTTTGTTTTTTACAAAACTTTATCGCTGTATTCCTATTTTTAAGACAGTAATTAGCGTTTAAGTCATATTCTGAAGGGTACCTTATATGGGGAATAGGGTCCATTAATGGCCGATCATCATAAAATTTGATATAAATAGATTTTGTTTCCAATAAAACAAGTTTATGTCGAATTTCATTGCTATTCTTGAATTTTTAAAACAACAATGAGTGTTAAAATCATACTCTGAAGGGGACCCTGTAGGGGGGTAGAGTCAATTATGGGCCGATCCTCATAAAATTTGGTAAAGAGGGTTTTTGTTCGTATAAAACTTGTTTATGTCGAATTTCATCGTTATACTTGAATTTTTAAAACGGTTATGACTGTTAGCTTTCCCGGGGGGCACTTATATGGGGGCAATGCGAAAAAGTGGACCGTTATTGTCGATTTTCAATACATACCAAACAAACCTTACCTGTAAGGAATATTTGTGGAAAGTTTCAACCCTTTTTAACAGACAGACGGACGGACATGGCTAAATCCTGTTAGAATTTAATGAGGATCCAGAATATATATATATATATATATATATATATACTTTTGTGGGTATATTGTCAATATTTCGAGGTATTACAAATGAAATGATAAAAACAATTGTTCGCTCATCTTCTTTAATGGTGGGTATAAAAATCAAAACATTATCTATATCGATATTATTTCTGAATATCAGGGAGATTTTTAGAAGAGGTGATTTAACGGGGACTTCGGTCAATTATAGACCTGTAATAGATGTTATATAGGGGAAGGGTTAATTATGGAACGATACTTATGAAAATTAATCTACATGAATTTTAAAGGCATTTCATTTAAGTCATTTCCAAAATATGTACAATTTGGGGGGCTAGGGTCAATTGTTGATCTATTTTGCCCATTTTCAATACCAAGCAAATTACATTCAGGTTTTTTTGTGTTATCAACTAACAGACAGATGAGTCTAGAATTTTTTATTTTTAAAAATGTTTACTTAGTCTTTTAAAAGTGGACCAATTTGGAGTTTATTTAAAAGACACCGAAAATTTTCCGTTTATATTTAACATTCTTTGTTTACCAGCAGACATTCGGAAAAAAACTTTTTCATATAGGCTCAAAGTGTGCCATTACGAGTAAAAAACTATAGCAACATCTATAAAACATAAAAGTAAAAAACGCTAAAAAAAATTAAACCTTTTATTATTATAAGTAGTGAATACATCAGTTAAATTAAAACAATATATTGATTAAGTATTTATTATTAAAACAATGACATTTTAAATTAAAGAAACATAGTGTATAATTTAGAGGTCTATAGAGAATAGAAAAAACAAAAACGCCCCATTACGTGTTTAATTTCTTTAAACTATGTGGAAAAAAATGCATGAATCAGCAAGAAAAGACAAAATTAAAATTGATTCACTGCGAAAATTTTACGAAAAAAGAATTCATTACTAAAATGCACAAAAAAACAACAAGTGATAATTGCATTTTTTTCATGAAAAACTCGCACATTGTACATACATATTTATATAAATAGATATCTGTGGATAAAGGCAAAATATGCTAAGTCGTTTTACAAACAAATTTAGTTCTACCCTACATTTACCTAACGCCCTTATACCTTAAATACTTAAATATTTGTCAACAAATTCAAATAAAAACCAAAGTAATTTTCTTGAAAATATTTATGATTTTTCGGATAGTTTAGTAATTCTGGAAATTTTCTTGAAACAATGATTTTTGTGTTAGGCTGTTATTATTTGTGTCTATAGACATACATACATATATATACATTTATATATACATATTAATTTATTTTTTAAATACTACTAACATGACATCTCTAAAAATGACAGGCACATCAGTAAATTATGCACATAAATACAAATAAGGTTACCTACATACAACATGAAATATTTAATAAAGTGTTAATTTTTTAATTAATACTTTATTGTTTATAAACTTCAAAATTGAGAAAAACGTTCAGTTGTCCCAAAAAAAACAATAAAATAATACTCTAAAAAAATCTATAAAAATTGAAAAACACTTTGTAAAATGTTAACACTAAGGTTTTAACCGGTTTAACGAGTAAGTAAACGTGTGATTTAGTGTATATTTTGTGCTCACCTTGCATTTCGTAAAAGGATATGAATAGCCTTAAAGTACGGTCAACAGTTTATTTTAATTAAAGTGTTGTTCATTTGAATTTTTAGAAATTTAAAATTAATTTTAAACCAATGAAAATGAAAAAGTTAAAAAGTAAATGTGTTAAAAAGTAAAAAAGTTAATATCTACGTATGTGTGTATGTTAATTATACCCTCCACCACCATCAGTGGTGATAGAGGGTATATATAACTTTGTCATTCCGTGTGTAACACCAAGAAATATTCATCTGAGACCCAACAAAGTATATATATTCTGGGTCCTTATCAAATTCTGAGTCGATTTAGCTATGTCCGTCTGTCTGCCTAAAACACGCTCACGTTAAAACTAAGCAAAGAAAGTAAACCAAATTCACCGAAAATATTTATTATTGTCCTGAGCAGTTTGGTATTGAAAATGAGCAAAATCGGTTCATACCAAGAAATGTTATGAATCACAATTTAAAACAACCTCGAAAAAAAAAAGCATTTTTGACACATTCTGATGTAATTTTCTCGAAAACTATGCAAGATAAATTCATGATTCATGATTTTGTTAATAACTTCCGTCACAATATCGATATCTTCACAAAATTTTACAAATTAAAATCCTATGTCAATACAATTGATTCAGAGATAAAATTTTCTGGATCGGTCTATAATTGGACATAGCTCCCATACAAGGTCCCCTCCCGAAAATCACTTAAACGCACATAATTCATTACTAAATTAAGATATCCATATAGAATTTGGTACAAATATTGCTCTCACATAAAGAAATATCACTACGAAATTGTTTTCCGATCGGTCCATAATTGGTCATAGCTCCCATACAAGGTCCCCTCCCGAAAATCACTTAAACGTGCATAACTCATCACTAATATAAAATTTGGTACAAGAATTGCTTATATGCACGGAAATATTACTGAGACATTTTTTTCCGATCGGTCCATAACTGGTCATTGCTCCCATAAAAGGTCCCCTCCAGAAAATCACTTAAACGCACATAACTCTTTACTAAATTAGGATATCCATATAAAGTTTGTCACAGGTATTGCTCATATATAGAGAAATATTACTGTGAAATTTTTCTCCGATCGGTCCATAATTGGTCATAGCTCCCATACAAGGTCCCCTCCCGAAAATCACTTATTGCTCATATGCACAAAAATATTACTGTGAAAATTTTTTCCGATCGGTCCAAAATTGGTCATAGCTCCCATACAAGGTCATAAACAAATTGTTTAATAGTAAAACCTATTAGTTGTTATGATAGATGACAATGGCGTATGTAAAAATTGATAAATTGAACTTTTTACTTTTAATATTTAAATGTTTTTGTAGATAGGGCATTTTGTTTTTTGTCAATAAAATCGCTAATTTTGGTCGGTCCAATTTTTTGTGTTGTTTTGATGTAATACATTATAATCAACAATAAAATCGAATTTTGGTTAGTTAGGGTCGTTTGCGTTTCAGGTGACGATATAAAAATAAATATAATAATTAAGAAATTAATATCCAAAATTTTATTTTAAGTGGTTTATTAGTTTTGTAGATATCTATGATAAAAAATTGTTCGATTTTAGTGGTTTCAATCATTAAACATGACTGAAATTTAAAGAATATTCTTTAAACAAACTAAAATTATTTATTGCAGAATCTTCTATAAAGATCCTTGAAAAAAGAAAATCTGTAACGGAAATTGAAATGAATATTAAAGAATTTTACCAATTTCATTTGGTCCATACAATTTTAGTTGTCGTATCGTTGATGGCAACAGGAATGCTTGCACAACAGCCAAGACGTGATGCTGATGTAAGTACCTACAGTATACATATAAGTATTCATAAGTATTTTATATTTTACTTATAAAATAAATTTTAAAATTTTTATTTATTCAGTGGCCACCATCATCTATTTTAAAGATGGCAAAACCATTTCATGATATTTGCGTAGAAAAAACCGGTGTAACTGAAGGTTTGTTTTAAAAATTATAAATTTTTTACAAATTACCGAACATCCTTTTCACTTTCAATTTAATTTGTTTTTTTAATTTTACAGAAGCCATCAAGGAATTTAGTGATGGAGAAATTCATGAAGATGAAGCTTTAAAATGTTATATGAATTGTTTATTCCATGAAATTGATGTGGTTGACGAAAATGGCGATGTACATTTGGAGACATTATTTAATACAATGCCTAATACTGTAAGAGATTTGGTTATAAAAGCTTCTGAGAATTGTGTACATCCAGAGGGTGATACTTTATGCCACAAGGCTTGGTGGTTCCATCAATGTTGGAAAAAAGCAGATCCAGTGGTAAGTTTTTTTTTATTATAATTAATATACTTATATATAAGATATGTATAATTGCAATTTGTATATAATATTTTCAGCACTATTTCTTGCCCTAAGATGAAGGACTATGATTTCAATTTTAGGTGATGATTTCTGAACGCAATTTGTTAAATTTTAGATTTAAGTCATTTATATTATAATTTGTGTCTTTTTTTCGAGCAATATAAAAAAAACTATAAAAAATTTCTTTACTGAAATTAGTTACACAGATGGGAAATATATTTTGTCAATGGTGCAACATTTTTATCTGATATATCATTTTAACAAAAATCCATTATTTATTATAACTTGAACTATTTTAAAATTTTAAATAGTTACACTCTAGTCTTGCATTTTTTTATCGCAAGGAAATAGTGACAGTTCATACAAATAATTAATTTAACGATAACCGGTGATTATGATTGTGGGATGTATAATTAAAGAAAATATCAAAAATACCACAAACGCCCCATTACATGCTTTATTTTTTAAAACTAAATAAAAAAATATTCTACATGAATCAGCAAGAAAAACAAAGTATATTTTTTTAATTATAATTCTGTAAAAAAGTTAAAAAGTAGCATTTAACGCAATACTATACAACTAAAACAAGTTATGCAAAAAAGTTAAAATTTCATTTTCTACAAGCCTGTCATAACTCATTTTTTTAAACTGATTTTTTTTTATTGGACCAGCACTCAGGGGATGACCCCTACTTATGCGAAGCATTGTGTTGCAACTATGAAATTAGGTTGTGGTAAGGAGGATAGAGGGAGTAGTGTTTGTGGACATTTGATTTAAATCTTCTTATATCGAAAGTGCCAGGGAATACCTCTGCAAGATGTTTATTCCATATACGAAAAGTGCGGCTGAAGAATGAATTTTCCCTGTAGTGTGTTATGCGCTCCACTGGCCAATCTAACACAAATGGGTGTGTTCTTGAAGAAAGACGTGTGTTACGCAATTTTCTCTAATCTCAGAGGAACACATTCTAATGTAGTATCGATAGAACAGTGAGATACATCCCACGTTGCGACGGTGCTCCAGTGAATCAATAGAGTTGTCTGTGTCAGACCGATTTTCTGTTGTTCTAAAACAGCAACAGTAAAACACCTCTTTTCAAGAATATTTGATAAGACAAATTTTATTCAACGGAACGAAATTCCGAAAAAGAACATAGCAAAAGGCAATGAAACCTGCAACAACATATCGGTTCAACTTACAAATGAAATTCAGATTTATAAAAGAAATTCAAGAACTTAATAAAATAATATTTTTTACATACAAGATGGGTATGTACTATTCATAAGAGCCAAATATAAAACTATTACTAGTTTTTAGTTATACCAGTCTTGTAATAAATGAGAAATATAATCCTACAGAAAACAAAATCTATAAAAAGTGAAAAACTCTTAATGAGTTTTCAACACAAACGTTTTGACCAGTTTAACGTATAAGTTAAAGTTCAATTTGATCAATTATATATCCTATTGCAATAACAACAGTGTATAAAAAGTAAACTTTATAATCGTGGTATGTTAATTATTCAATTAATTAAGTCTTAATAACAAATAAAGCCTTTAAAATTTAAAATTAATGGACACAATTTTTTAACGATTAAGATATAATACCCTGCAAAAATTGAGACTAGTCCGCACACGCATGTAAAGAGTACTCCTCAAAGGACTAGGACTTGTCCAAAACAAATCCAAATATATGAGAAAAACATACTCTATTTAACAAAGGACCAGGACTTGTCCAAAAAAGTTCAAATATATGGGAAAAACATACTCTATTTAACATTGTGATGTCCTTGTTGGGGACCACGTAATCCAACTATGCATTACATCGGAGTAATCTTAAATTATACTTAAATTATGAGATTACATGATCCGCAATACTGTCCCATGTAATGCAGGATATGGACCATGTTGTTTTCAAAAAAATAAACATGATCCATATCTGCATTACATAGGACTACTAAACGGATCATGTACTTTAATAATGTATACAGAGGAGTAGTTTTTGAATTACCAGGACTTGTCCAAAAAAATCCAAATATATGGGAAAAACATACTCTATTTAACATTGTGATGTCCTTGTTGGGGACCACGTAATCCAACTATGCATTACATCGGCGTAATCTTAAATTATACTTAAATTATGGGATTACATGATCCGCAATATGGTCCCATGTAATGCAGGATATGGACCATGTTGTTTTCAAAAAAATAAACATGATCCATGCCTGCATTACATAGGACTACTAAATGGATCATGTACTTTAATAATGTATACAGAGGAGTAGTTTTTGGATTACGTAAATGGAACATGTACTCCAATAATTTTTGCAGGGTATATTAATATAAATGTTGTAATTAAATACTCTTTCAAGGAATTCATCAGAATATTGGAAAACACAGGCAATCACTCTAATATAAAGGAAATAAGCTTACATTGGTGACGACAATAAAAATGGGTTTTCTAGAATGCTTTCGTTTTCAATTGATCCACAAATTTTTAATTGTCCTCTCCTTGATGTTAACATGGTCACAAGCACAGCAACCGAGACGTGATGCTGATGTAAATACTATATACTCTTACAACAAATAAGTACAAATTTTTATATTAATTTTAAAATTTGTAATCCGATTATAATTATAACAACTAATTAAAAAATTACTTATGTTATAAAAAATAAATATTACCTATTTTAAATCCAAAAAGCAAAAAAAAAAATATTATATTTCTCATTCTTTCATAGTTAGTATCTTCAAATATTATTGTCTTTTAAAATATACATATTTTTACCCTTTTTCTACATAAATAATTATTTACTTTTCAGTGGCCTCCATCATCGCTCTTAAAGATAGCAAAGCCATTCCATGATATTTGTGTAGAAAAAACTGGTGTAACTGAAGGTTTGTGCTAACAGCAATTAATACTAATTAAGTTGTTCAGTTCCTTAACAATCATTTTATTTATTTCCTTATTCCTTTTTTTGGCAGAGGCCATTAAGGAATTCAGTGATGGACAAATTCATGAAGATGAGGCTTTAAAATGTTACATGTATTGCTTGTTCCATGAATTCGATGTGGTTGATCCTAATGGTGATGTTCACTTAGAAACATTATTCCAAGCTATACCGCACACTATCAAAGATATGTTAGTGAAGGCTTCGGAGAATTGTGTACATCCAGAGGGTGATACTTTGTGTCACAAGGCTTGGTGGTTCCACCAATGTTGGAAAAATGCAGACCCAGTGGTATGTTTTTATTTAAGTATTAGTTATAAATTTCTTGAAACTGTTAAATAATTGTAATTAAAATAATCTTTCAGCATTATTTCTTGCCCTAAAGTGAAAGACCAGAGATCTCAATTTTGACAATTTTATGATGTTACTAATCCGAAACTGATTTGATTTAATATTATTTAAGTTTTATGTGATTTCTATTTGATTTGTTTTTTCGCTTAATCGAAGCATAATAAGGAGTTTAAAATGAAAACATTTAATAAATCGTATATCTTATCTTCAAACAAGTGATTAACTCTCTTCTAAATTTCAATTCTACTATAGACTAGACTATAGACTAGACTATAGACTAGACTATAGACTAGACTATAGACTAGACTATAGACTAGACTATAGACTAGACTATAGACTAGACTATAGACTAGACTATAGACTAGACTATAGACTAGACTATAGACTAGACTATAGACTAGACTATAGACTAGACTATAGACTAGACTATAGACTAGACTATAGACTAGACTATAGACTAGACTATAGACTAGACTATAGACTAGACTATGGACTAGACTATAGACTAGACTATAGACTAGACTATAGACTAGACTATAGACTAGACTATAGACTAGACTATAGACTAGACTATAGACTAGACTATAGACTAGACTATAGACTAGACTATAGACTAGACTATAGACTAGACTATAGACTAGACTATAGACTAGACTATAGACTAGACTATAGACTAGACTATAGACTAGACTGCAGACTAGACTATAGACTAGACTATAGACTAGACTATAGACTAGACTATAGACTAGACTATAGACTAGACTATAGACTAGACTATAGACTAGACTATAGACTAGACTATAGACTAGACTATAGACGACTATAGACTAGACTATAGACTAGACTATAGACTAGACTATAGACTAGACTATAGACTAGACTATAGACTAGACTATAGACTAGACTATAGACTAGACTATAGACTAGACTATAGACTAGACTATAGACTAGACTATAGACTAGACTATAGACTAGACTATAGACTAGACTATAGACTAGACTATAGACTAGACTATAGACTAGACTATAGACTAGACTATAGACTAGACTATAGACTAGACTATACTAGACTATAGACTAGACTATAGACTAGACTATAGACTAGACTATAGACTAGACTATAGACTAGACTATAGACTAGACTATAGACTAGACTATAGACTAGACTATAGACTAGACTATAGACTAGACTATAGACTAGACTATAGACTAGACTATAGACTAGACTATAGACTAGACTATAGACTAGACTATAGACTAGACTATAGACTAGACTATATACTAGACTATAGACTAGACTATAGACTAGACTATAGACTAGACTATAGACTACACTATAGACTACACTATAGACTACACTATAGACTAGACTATAGACTAGACTATAGACTAGACTATAGACTAGACTATAGACTAGACTATAGACTAGACTATAGACTAGACTATAGACTAGACTATAGACTAGACTATAGACTATAGACTAGACTATAGACTATAGACTAGACTATAGACTAGACTATAGACTAGACTATAGACTAGACTATAGACTAGACTATAGACTAGACTATAGACTAGACTATAGACTAGACTATAGACTAGACTATAGACTAGACTATAGACTAGACTATAGACTAGACTATAGACTAGACTATAGACTAGACTATAGACTAGACTATAGACTAGACTATAGACTAGACTATAGACTAGACTATAGACTAGACTATAGACTAGACTATAGACTAGACTATAGACTATAGACTAGACTATAGACTAGCTATAGACTATACTATAGACTAGACTATAGACTAGACTATAGACTAGACTATAGACTAGACTATAGACTAGACTATAGACTAGACTATAGACTAGACTATAGACTAGACTATAGACTAGACTATAGACTAGACTATAGACTAGACTATAGACTAGACTATAGACTAGACTATAGACTAGACTATAGACTAGACTATAGACTAGACTATAGACTAGACTATAGACTAGACTATAGACTAGACTATAGACTAGACTAAATAATAGTCCGACCAGATTATAGTCAAGACTACTTATACAACATTCTCTGCAATCTCACTCTTATAATTTGATATTGCTTTTTTGCGAAAAATATTAAAAAATCATTTCCCAGAAAAAATATTAAAACAAACATTTTCTTAATTTTTCAGCAATTCGGTCAATAGATTTTTGAAAACTAATATTTATGAAACAAAGAAATTTGAATTTCATTTGAATGGTAATGGCTTGTTTTATGGTCAAGTTAACTGAGTTTATTTTTTGTCTCCAAATTTCTGTAACATTTTTATGCATTTCGTAGTTATACATTGAATTCATATTTCGGTAGCAATATAGTTTTACTATATGTAATTTAAATATGTAATTTTTGGTATTGACAATGCTGCAATGACTATTTTGCATATCATATACTATATGTACTACATATTACCTAACGTACACATATACGAATACATTTGTTTCATATCAAATACTATAAAAAGCTACATGCCAATAACATCAGAAACATAAACTGATAAATTTTGTTGTGCTTTGTGTTTGGGAAAAAGGGCAAAGTTAAATTTCATACAACAAAATGTGAAGATATGAAGTTACTCCTGGTCAGTTGTTGCATTAGGCGACACAACTATCGACACATGGAATAAAAAATTTCTTTTTCTGATAAACGAGTGTTAGTTTAAAGTAAAATAACATAACAGACCAACTAGCATTTAAAACACAAAACTCAAAAACAAAACAGTTAGAGAGTTGGAAAAGTAGAATTAGAAAAATGAACAACATGGCCCATAAAAACACAACTTCAGACAAACAACAATTATGCAGATTTTTATGTTAAACTTTTATGTTTTTTTCATTTATTCTTGTTTTTTCTAAATCAACGATACAATGACAAGTTGTAGTATCATTTGCCTAGATTGTTGGAAAATTGCAAAACGTTATAAAATCTCATGTATACAAATATGGACATTTGATTATTCCACAAGTGTGTCAAGTATGGCTAGAAGTGTTCATAGACATTAAATGTTAGAGAGGAGGTATTGTTTAATGCATGTTTGTCTCTCCATATGTCCGTCTGTCTGCATGTTTGTGTAGGTGTGTTCGTTCTACATAGTACATCATTGTTATGCTCAAATAGTAATTGTTGTATGTTATTATTGTTTGTTGTAGATAATTTAAAAATCATTCTATGTTTGAATTTTATTTATTTCTAAAAAATTGAATAGTAATGAATTTGTAAAACAAAATGTTTTAGCAAATGTGACAAAATAAAAGTGCAATTATAAATGGTGAAGCAGTTTAAAAATATTTTGATCACTGGCATGTGTTAAAAAATTCCCATATGATACCCTACAACAACAGCTACAAATTTTAAAAAATTAATTTAGTTATTATTATACACAAGAAATAATGCATACAAATTTTAGCTAAAAAATATTGTTATAGACATCTGACGCTATTTAACCACAATTTATGAGACATTTTTATTTTTAATTATTCTAAAATTAAATGTTGGCTATAAAGTTTTGTATTTTTTATTATTATGCATTTTTATAGATATTTCACAAAATAAACTCGAACATTAATTTCTATCAAAAGTATGTACGTAAAGCATATAAAAACCAGCTTTAAAATGTTATAAGTAGAAAAGTAAAAGCAACAAAAATATCATTTCATAAAAACATAAAATCTTCTTAAGTGCTTATTTTAATGTAGTACTTTTCTATGTATGTACGCACTTCCATGTACATATGTAGGTATGTATGTGTGAGAGTATGTTAAATTTCCGTTTCCTCAATTGGTAAGTATAAGTATGAGAGAATAAGAACTAAATTCATGTACCTACCACATATGTATGAATGTTTATATGTTTATATGTATTTATAAATAGCGGCTTTTAATTTTGATTATTAAACATAAATATAAACAATAGGTTGGTATACTCAAGCACTGTTATAAACTAGACACCTATAAAGTTTTCAAACTAGACTATAGACAAACATATTGAGCTAAATTCAACATAATAGAATATATTAGATATTATACAGAGACTAGTGAATACTATATGTATATATGACTTGTTTATCGTCAAGACTATAGATAAAACTATAAACTAGAATATTAAATATATGAAATTAATTTTGAACAGGTTAATAACAAATTTATGGACTTTTATGGGAGCTATGACCAATTATGCGCCGACGTGAAGTAATTTCTGATAATGGACCGATACAGAAATAACTTGGCAGATATATTTATACCCTACACCACTATAGTGGGGAGGGTATTATACGTTTGTGCTGATGTTTGTAACACACAAAAATATTGGTCCTACACCCACCTTTAAGTATACCGATCGACTCAGAATCACATTTTGAGTCGATTAAGACATGTCCGTCCGTCTGTCCGGCTGGCTGGCTGTCCATGGAAACCTTGTGCGCAAGGTACAGGCCGCAATTTTCGAGATAATTTGATGAAATTTGGACCAAGCATGTTTTTTGGCACAAGGACGAAGTCTATTGAAAATGGTTGAAATCGGTCCATTATTTCACCTAGCCCCCATACAACCGTACCTCCCGATTTGGGCTTTTTATGGCATAATTTGGACCAAGCATGTTTTTTGGCACAAGGACGAAGCCTATTGAAAATGGTTGAAATCGGTCCATTATTTCACCTAGCCGCCATACAACCGTACCTCCCGATTTGGGCTTTTTATGCCATAATTACGTCAAATATACTATTATCTCTCTAAAAATAAGTTTCATATAAGTATAAATGACAATGCAGATTTTCGTAATGATCAACCCTTATTTGACCCTAGCCCCCATACAAACCCCCCTTCAAAAAATGTCTTAAACGTCTAAAATTGACTTGTAACCATTTGTATCGCAATGAAACTCAACATAATTAACTATTATTTAAAAATATATCCTTTTCCCAAATTTAATGAGGATCGGCCCATGTTTGACCTATACTCCTATATAAAGCCTCATTTAGAAAATTTGTTTTTTATCAATAAATTGCTTAAATACTTTGGAATTAACGAAAAATTCAACATAAAAGTTTCTTTGTGAAAAATAAAAATTTGTAAAATATGCTCATGGTGTAGGGTATTATATGGTCGGTCGTGCCCGACTATACTTTCCAACTTGTTTTTTTGTTATAGTTATGCACATTTAAGTAATTTCGAAA